TCTTTGGCACATTCCTCTGCCTTGCGGCTGCCTTCGTCCTGCGTGTAGCTAGACCTCCTCGCCTTCCTCCTCCCTGCCCTCGCGGTGGTCGCCCACGTCGCTGCCATCGTCTTCTGCGCACCGAGGGTGCCCTGCTGGCGGTGCCCTGGGAGCTTCTCTTCGCCCGAAATGGGAGGTTGGCCTGCAGGAAGCTCTTCGCTGAGGCTGGAGCGCGCTTTGGCAAGCCGCAGCTCTCCTTCACGCCGCCGCCGTCCACGCGGCAAGGGCTCTCGGTGGTGGCAGGCGGGCTAGCCGTGGTCCTCCTCGTGGCTTCTAGCTCTCGTTCGCGGGTCCCCGCTCGTCGTGGCCCTCCTCGCATCTGCAGCTTGAGCTCCATTGCCGCCCGACCCTCGACCGCCTCTGCCTCCCTGTCCTCCTGTGCCTCCCCGTCCTTCTGGACCCTCGCCTTCGCGTGGGCCTTCGTGGTATCCTCTACCCTCTTATGCTCCTCCGCCTGAGCGGTGTAAATGGCATTCGGTTCTCAGGGCGTCCTCTGACTCTCTGGCCTCCTCTGCTGTCCTGGCCACCTCCAACGGCCCGGTCTCCCTGCCCTCCTCTGCCCTCCCGGCTGTCGCCGTCCGATCGGCCTCCCGGGCCTTGTGGTGCCTCCTCTGCCTCCCTGGCCTCCTTGACCTCTCTGGCATCCTCCCTCCTCCTGGGCACCCTGCTGTCTTCCTGGCATCCTCTGCCCTTCTGGCTTCTTGGCATCACTTGCCTGCTCAGGTTCCTCGGGCTTCCTGGCCCCGATTGCTCTCCGGGCGTGCTCTGCCATCGTAGCCTCATCAGCAGACCTGGCCTCCGGCCAAGGCTTCCTGGTCACGTATGCCTTCTGGGCCGCCGCTGTATCTGTAAGCGGCTCGACGTTGCCGTTCTCGTGCCCCTTCCTGGCATCCTCTGCCTCATCCTCCTCCTCTTCCTCCTCCTCCTCCTCCTCCTCATCCTCCTCATCATCATCCTCGTGCTCCTCCTTCTCCTCCTCCTCCTCCTCCTCCTTCCTGGCCCCATCCTTCCAGGCATCCTCTGTCTCTCGGCCTCCTCTGCCCTTTCGGTTGTCTTGGCCTCTCCTTCCCCCTCCTGGGCTCTGGCCTCCTTTGCTCTCCGGCCCTCCGGTGCCTTCCTGGCCGCCGCGGCCTCCCTGGCATCCCCTGCCTGCTCCTCCTCCGCTGCTGGGCCGGCTCGCTCTGATCGTCGCCGTCCACCCCTCGTGCCCCTCCTCCCGCTCGGATGGTCGTCGGGGCCTCGAAGACGAACCCCGCGTCGGAAAAGGCGTCGCCGTGCAGGTTGCTCTCCAGATCCGCGTGGTCGCAGCGCCAGCTGCAATGCCGTTCTTACCGCCCGCGTCAGGCGGGTGGCAATGGGGGGGGGACCCACATAGGGGGAAGCAAAGGGCCCTAGAGGGGCCCTTTAGGGCTCAGGCTCCTTCTGGAGCCAGAAGGTGCCCCAAAGGGGCCCCTAGAGCGCCCCTTTAGGGCCTCTTTCTTCACCCCCAATGTGGGACCACCCCCATTGCCACCCGCCCGATCGCGCAGCCGGGCCTCCAGCTTGTCATCGCACCGCCTTCTGCAGCTGCAGAGCTGGGCCGTCGGCAGGCTGCGGCTGCCGCCGTTCATGTAGGAACACGTGGGCCAGCGCTTGGCGCCCACGGTCGTCGCAGCCGAGGCCGCCGTACGCCTATCGTGGCAGCCGTAGTGCTCGTCGTAGGTGTTCGGCTTTGCGCTCTGCGTGAGTGCGCCTTGCCCAGGCCGTGCCATCGGACTGTAGCTCATCGTTCCGCCGATCGTGGGGTGCATCACGAGGACCGTGTGGTACTCCACGTATATCGTGGGATGCAGCATGCGGATCGTGACGTATGTCACGCAGACGGTGGGGTATTCCACGTAGGTCGTGGAGTATTCCGCGCGAGTCGTGGAGGAGTACGTCACGATGATTGCGATGCATTTCCAGCAGATCGTCATCAATGCCTTCACGTCAATATTCCGCGGCGCGGCGGGCTAAAGCAAGCCCTGTGGCCAAGGGAGGCCCGGGCGCACAAGGGTCGGGAATAGCCCTTGAACCAAAATGGCTACGGGCCCTCCTCCTCCTCCTCCTCCTCCTCTTCCTCCTCGTCCTCCTCCTCCTCCTCCTCCTCCTCCTCATATCAGCCAGCGTTAACTCCAAATAGATTAGACGACTCAAATCAAGGAATCCGAGGAATCAAGCATCCTTGGAATCCGCAACTCAGCAAGCAGGCAAGCGTGCAAGCAAGCGCGCAAGCAAGCCAGCAAGCAAGCAAGCCAGCCAGCCAGCCAGCCAGCAAGCAAGCATGCAAGCGCGCAAGCAAGCAAGCAGGCATAGGCATAGGCATAGGCGTAGGCATAGGAGTTAGGGGGGAGGCATAGGCATAAGCATAGGCATACGAATTAGGGGGGGTATAGGAATTGGGGGGGACAACGGGCGAATTGGTAGGGTTTGAGCTAGGACT